TTTATTAGGAGAAATAAACCAAATTCATTCTATAGTAGGAATATAAAACCTTGATTTAACCAAAGAATAAAGGAAAAAGGCAAAAATAAGTGCTTTCTACGTGTACCTTTTTTGAGTTGGGACAATTGTGCCTGGATGAATAGCACAACCCTTTATTTATTTATATTTTTTTATCATCTTTCAATGATAATCTGTCAAGTGTTCATCTGTATGATTTTTGTGAATTTTTTTTTGTACATATAACATGTTCTCTAAATTAAGCTCTTATTTGACAATTATTTTTTTTCAAACTCCTTTTCTTTTACGTACTTTTTAATCATACATTCATGTAATAAAATATGCTGCACCTAAATTCAAATTTTTTTTTCTACTTTTAATTACACATTCTCCTAAAAATTACTATTCAAAACATGATTTTTCTTATTTAATGGTTTTCAAACAAGGGCTAAATAGATAAATTTTAATATATCAAGTTAGGGCTCCTCGAATAATTCAAAAGCGGAGGGGAGTTTTTAATTTCCTATATTTGAATAAGGTAATTTGTTTTTAAAAACAAATCTTTTAGGGCCAATAAGTCCATGTTTGAAGGTCATTATTTTGAGAAAATAGAAATTTAAATAGTGATTTTTTGAAGACTAATTGATTAAAAGTATAGAAAAGTTTTTACTGTACGTGCGAAATATTTTATTGCATAAATATATAATTGAAAATAAGTACGAAATCAAAGAGGGGGTAAGTGCACAAAATCAATAATGAATATACACGAAAAAATAGCACTTAGAAATTCTTAATATATTTTAAGAATCTTTGTATTTGATAATTTCTGTTTTCTCAACTCGACTTTTTCTTTAAGAGTCCGTTTGATTAGCAAAAGTGGAAAGACTGTCCAATTTCATAAAAGTTAGAAAAATTCTAGTACCTCATATGAATGCATTTTCAATGAAATTAACAAAAAAAAAAAAAGTTTAAAGTGAGGGTATCTTGGAATTCGAACTATATTTTCACTTACGTATCAAACAGCCAAAGTAAAAATTAAATTTCTCAAATGTGATATTTTTCATGAAATTTAAACTAATCAAATGGACGGTAAAATCATTTGGCTTTTTTTTATTCCTGGCAAGTAACTATTCAAAGCAGTACATAACTACTTGATCATTTATGATCAAAATTTCGTTGGAATATTCGATTTGGTCGCTAAATTCAAGAAAATACACCAAATTCGGGCATTTTGCCGAAGAAAATGGATTCATATGTATCATCGAATTGGCCTGTTTTCAAGAAAATACACCAAATTCGGGCATTTTGCCGAAGAAAATGGATTCATATGTATCATCGAATTGGCCTGTTTTCAGTTCATTCAAGAAAATTAATAATACACTCACAAAATCGCTGTCTTTCCCAATTCCCTTTCTTCAACCCACGGACATTCTCCCAAAATTCGGCGTCGAAACGACAATATGTCAACGACACAGCGAATCTGCATTTTTATCTCCCTTTTTCTCGCTACCGTACCACCGCTAATTGCAACTGCAGACGACGGCGGAAACCCTCCTCTGACGGCCTACGACGTTCTGCAGGCTTACGACTTCCCGGTGGGCATCCTTCCAGTGGGCGTGACCCACTATGAAATAAATAGAGCCAACGGCAAATTCAATTCGTATTTCAATAGTTCGTGCAGTTT